AGATGGGCATCTTAAGGTCCTACCTGCATCTGCATTTAGCTTCCAAAAGTACTGGATGCAACCCTCCCCCCCCCAAATGCTACCCAATTGTAAAATTTAGTAAAATTATTAAATACATGGGGAATAATCTTATTAACTCTCCCATAAGCCCTACTGTGCTGCCTCATTGTGTGTGTGTGTGGGGGGGGGAGGCGTTCCTGGAAGGGATGAACAAAGAACATTGAGAGTATATGCCAAGAGTTTCTATTCCCAGCTATTACCCAAGTGTGAAGGTCATCCCAGCTGAAACAAACAAGTAGGAAAAGGCAATGGTGAACCACTCCTGTATTTTTACCAAGAAAACCACATGAATGAAAAATATGAAATGACTGAAAATTTATTTATGTGGTCACTAAGAGTCAACACCAGCTTGATGGCATGTAATCAAAAAATCAAAAATCTTATTAACTTAAAAATCTTTAAGTGATTTGAATTCCATTTAAATGAAATTAAATATTTTTTCTTGTGGTCTTGCTTACATTTTGGAACGTGGCTTCTGCCATATTCTTGTTTTAGGAATAAATTAAACAAGCACATTTGATAAATGCTACCCATTTGTCTCCCAGCAACATCATACCTTCCATTTCATAAGCAACTTAGCAGTAGAACTCACAAAGGGAATTGAGTTCAGGAAAGCTTACACCTTAATACATTTATACATTGTGCAACTCTGAACACATATCACAATCTGTAAAAATGGTTGAGAGAAATATGTACTACTATTATACTAACCTGGATGTTTCAATAAATGCTTATGAGTCATGATGAGGAGAAAAGCCAACACAAACTATGGGATCATCAAACTGGACATCTGCTGTGAATGATGAAGCTGCTACAATCTCTAAAGAGATTGCACATTTAATAGAAGGGACCTGGAGCATACCCACTCTGCAGCAACACACTGGGCCGGCAGAAACTGTTGGAGATAGGCGGTATCCTAGGCCCTATGCCATATAGGGCTTTATAGGTAATGACCAGCACCTTGAATTGCACTTGGAAGGCAACTGGCAACCATTGCAGCTCGTGTACCAGCGGTGACACATGGGCATACCAGGAGGTACCCATTACTGCTTGTGCCATTGCATTGTGTACCAGCTGTAGCTTCTGGATGGTCTTCAAGGGCAGCCCCATTGAGAGCGCATTGCAATCATCATGAGGTGACCAGGCATGAGTAACTGAAAGGTCTCCTGGTTGAGGAAGGGGTGCAACTGGCACACAAGATGTGCCTGTGCAAAGGTCCTCCTGGCCACAGCTGCCACCTGCTCTTAGAGCAGTGGCTGTGAGTTCAGAAGGACCCCCAAGTTGCACACCAGTCTAGAATGGGGAAGTGCTACCCCAACCAAGACCAATAGTCACCAACACTAATGGCCAAACAGCCACAGCTACTCAGTCTTTGCAGGATTGAGCCAAAGCCTGTTCTGCCCCATTCAGACCCGAACGCCTCCAGACATTGGGTCAGTACAACAACAGCTTTACCTGCAGTATGCTGATCCCGAACCCCGAGCTAAAGGATGACCTCACCCAACGACCTCATGTAAAAGTTAACAGGAGAAGGGAGAGCGTTGAGCTCTGAGTCACCCCACAAATGAGGGGCCATGGCTGTGACCTTCCCTCCCATCTACACTGACTAAAACTGACCTCTGAGGAAGGAAGTGAAGCACTGCAACACAGTGCCTCCCAGTGCAGCCTTCAATGCCAGATTGCACTGCAACTGCTCCAAGACAAAAAAAATCTAACATGCAACCCCCACTATGTGTTGGGTCCTCTATTATTTGGGGCAGGTCCATGGTGGCCATGAACTCCTGAGCCATCCCAGACTCAACATCACCTGGTGGCAGGTTAAAGTCCCCAAGGACCATCAGCCTTGGGGACTCCACTGTCAATCTGGCAACAGAACCCAGCAGCTCAAGTGGGGATGAAGTTATACAGCAATGAGGGTGGTACACAAGCAACAATTGTGAAGGCTCAGTTTTAACCAGAGGGTCTCATATCAGGTTGCCTGCAGAGCAGAGCCTCTAAATGCCCTCAGTGACTCATGGATGGCAATAGCCACCCCACTTCCCCTCCCCTGGGTCTGATTTGGGTTGATGCCAAACCCAAAACCCAGGTGGGCACATTTCTGAGAGGGGAACCCCCGGCCTATCCAGAT